ATGATGTAACTATTCCACTGGAACATTTAGACCAAAATTGCTCCAAAGTTTCAGGCTTGGAATCAGGAATCATTGGCAGAGGGAGCAACAAGGGGACCTCAAGAGCCTGGACTTGCAGCACCTTCCAGCTGCTCACCATTGCTAATTTTAAATGTTGTTTGGGTTTTGTTTTTTTTTATTGAAAGCCAAGCAAATGTGCTGGTCCTCACCAAAGGGCTGTACGCTACGTCTTGCCAAGTTTAGTCACACATGGCACTCCCCTGAATCAACAGACTTGCTAATGTGAATGAATTGTTTTCAGCACAGTTCTGTTTAAAAAAAAGTTGACAACAACAAGCTACAAATAGTATTCAGGGTGAAATTATATAGAGGAGTGTCACCATTGATATCTGCATGTGCAAGTCTGGGCTCCAAATTATTTTAGGGCAGTTTGCCCCCACTTCTTATTCTTAGAAATCAAGCTCCTGCTCATTAAATAGTCCCAGTGAAGCAGATTATGCCAACCCTGTAAGAGGTAGAACCTTGACCAACAGGCATCCATGGATTTGGGGAGACTTTCTTCAGAGCAAGGTGTTACTGCAAGTAAAAGTTAGAGACTCTTGCTGTTGTAAGCTATGGGACTTCCCAGCAGTACAATGATATTTAGCATGTAGGGCATCTCAGACTCTCATTCTGAACCATATTTAACATCCCCATCTCTGTGCAGCCCCTCCAACCTCAGGGGAACTGCTCAACAGGTAAGTGACTGGGAGGAAGGATGTTAGAGCCGGACCCTCTCCTGCGAGGCACATAAAATGTATTTGGGCAAGATTCCCACTGGGAGAAGTTTGCAAAATTTTTCTAAGACTGGGAGCAAATGTTAACGCAGTTTTCTTCCTTCAGGGCAGTTTTAAAGTCACTTAAAGCCCGAGAGTGTTTTCCACCTGAGAGACTGGACTTCGCTCCTCAGTGTAGTTCCCCTTACTCATCGGATGAGTACCGATTACTCATGTGATCAATGCATGGGGAGCTGAGGTTTTGTAGAAGGGCAAATTTCTAGATTTGATAACAAAGTCAGATCTCTGCCAAAACCTCTTCCTCCCCCGCAGAGTTTGTTGCTTAAAATCTTATAGGATAAACCATAATATTTTCTATAAATATGATCTCAGTATGACTACAGGATTTTTCTACAAAAATACATAGCCAAATTTGTGACTTGTCTATTTGTATTAGAAATCAGCAAAGGAACTGGCCTGTGAAACTCTCACACTTTGATGCCATGCTTTTCTGAATGTTACTTGATTTCCTAGTTTAAAAATAAAATTACACAGATTAAGAGCCTTTTGAATCTCAAAAGAATGCACATATTAGAAAAGTTATTTCCTAAGATAAACAACCTGATTTAATAAGCTGCCTTCTGGGTTTTATGACATTAAGGGGAAAAGATTGCTTCAAAGACATCTAGTTTAACACATGTCCATCAGCTTCATTTACAAGTTCAAAATCCAGCCGTATATAAGATATTAGCTTGGTTTGGAATATGTAAAGTGACTATTTTTCATATGTTAGTGCACTGAAATACTTGATACAATATTGTTGGGGAAGAAAAAAATAGTTGCCAGAAGAGTTTATTTGAGGAACAGTTACTGCTAATAAAAACTTTCCATTAACAAGGATTTTTTAAATTGTTTTTTAATATGTTTTTAATGACCTCTGCTCCTTGTACCTACCTCCTTGCTTCCAAAACTGTTTGTACTGTCCCCAATAACACTCAGTGGAAAGCTGTCATTCCTGGCTAAATCCTTACTTAGGTTGGATGCTATGACTCCGTTAGACAGGGTTACAAGGTCACAATCGATTTTGGAGGCCACCTGGAGAGTCCAGGCCGTGAACTGACTCAAAAAATTTATATCAGAGCTGGAATGGTCCACCTCCCAGGGCTCAGCCTGCGCTGACACCCCAGCCACAGGATGGAGCCTGCCAGGCCCAGCTCAGAGAGAGGCCAGAGTTGTTGACCCCGTTAGCTGACCTCTTCAAACTTCAGGAGAATTTTTCTGGCAGTTACCACGGTGACTGGGCACTCCAAGCTTATCCTTCTTACTGAGAAAAAAAAAAAAAAAAAAGAAAAAAGAAAAAAAAGTTAAAGCCTACCTTGTAGGGATGTCTATCAAGAATCAAATACATAAATGTTTTAATTGTTTGCTTTTCTCCTTGGGCTGCTCTGGCTCTGACTGGTACATGCAAAGTGAACATCAAGAAAACTGTTTAACTAAAAGCATTTCTACTTCTGAAAAAGTGATGTTCGATGGATTTAACAAGTAGCATTTCTAAGATCTGCCTGTGATTGCAAATGACACACTGAGAGATTTATCATAAAATAATATTTATTTTCCTTTCTGTACCTGACTCCAGGTTATTACCATTCCTTACCAAATCTGGGACAAACTGAGAAAAGCCTTAGGGAGGATTCCATGCCGCCTTCTTTTTTTTTTTTCCTTTTAAAAACTAGCTGCTTGATGAAACATTACGTATGCAGCAGTACGTTGCTTTGATTTCTTAAGAAGAGACTGTATAACCCACTTAATGTACCATGAAGTATTATTTAAGAGGAAAATTAAAAAAAGAAAATTTGTCAGACATCGTTACTGGTGTTTTTTTCAGGCACTTCGAACACTCATCATTTCACACATAAAATTTACCAGGTAAGCAAGGTCTCGTGATGCTGACAGAAAACACTTGAAACAAATCAAGGGATCAGAGAGCACACTAAGTAAACAAGAAAATGAAGTGCACTCTTGATTTCTAAAACAATAAGGGGAAAACTCATGGTTCTTAATTTCAAAGCAATCACATTATAGACAAAGCTTTTATGTAAATTTTCGTCATGTTCCTATACTTGAAATAGCATCTTGCAAAAGGGAGCACTGAAGAGTACACTGCATTATAGCTGGAAAAATCCTACTCAAGGGCTCCTGATGGCAAACTGTCAATCAGAATTCCCCGTTTGTTATGAACTGCTCATTTCTGAAGTACAGCTAAACAGAGGTTTAATAATTGAAAGTTTAATGGCATTTTGTCTCACGCATGGTTTTGAAGTATCTTCTGTTGTTTGAAGAGTTAAATACGAATATTCAAATTGCTGCTCAGCCACTGCTCTGTGCTCCTCCTGGGCTTCTCCACTGGCAGCGCTGAGAGGGCAGAGGGGACAGAGCTGCTGAGTTGCATCTCACAGGGGGAGATCCTGCAGGTGAAAAAAATAAAGTAGGAGAGTGGGGTGTAAAAAATAAAAAGCACATAACCAATCCTTTGTGCCAGATCTATTTTTCATTTCTGCTAGAAGGATGAAGAAAAGGCAGGACTGTATATTAACCAGCATTTTAAAAAAGTGAATCCAGTCATGGTGAAGGACTTTCTCCATTCAAAATTGGTTCAATTTCTTTGAAATATCGTATGCTTCAATACTAAATAGATACATAGACAGATGATAATATTATCCACAACTTTGAATTAAACATGGAAACAATTTAAATTAAAAACACTTAAATACTGTTTTTCTGTTATTAGGGGTGTTAGAAAAAGGGTAAGCCTCTCATTAAGAGATGAATGTTTTCATTTGTGTTTTTTATTATGGCTATACAGGATGGTTTTGTGTTTTCCCTTTTTTTTTTCTGCATGAAATAAAGTCAGTTGAAACAATCAGGTGACTGATTAATAGGCTAGTGGGAAGAATATAAGTGTTTGCTGCAGTTTATTTTGGTTTTTTTGCATCCTTTTTGGACAACACTATATATAAGCATGTGCCTTTCAATTAGATAGCATGATTTATGAAGTCATGTTCAGGGCTCGCCAGGTTGTTGACTCAGATTAGAGCTGTGATGCCAGCTCATTCCCTGGTGACAAACACTGACTGTCCCTCCCGCAGCCAGGCACCCCGGCAGCCTTATGAAAAGACCTTGTGGTTGGCAGAGGACTGAGCAGGAAATGAGGTCCTCTCCGGTTTGGGACAGAGATGACTGGAGTTACAGAAAGCTGTAAAGCAAAATCAGCATCTCTTGAGTCACAGACTTTAAGCTCATGGGGATCCCACAGTTCCCTGTGTGAACGTGGCCCACCAGCGCTGCATTGCCTGCACACCCTCCAGCCTCCCACTGACTCCCCAGGGGAGCACCCAGCCAACTGCAATTCTGTCATGAGAAGAAGGGAGCAATTTTACATGGGAGAAAGGAAGCAAGGGCACTGTGGTCCCCTCCTCCTCCCCACGCAGCCCAGCCCGGTCCTGGTGCTCAGCACCCTCCCAAGGGAATGTTTTTTTCCTTCATCCCTATCAGAGAAATTTTGGCACATCGCATGGTGTTTTTCTAATGGTACTACAAGAAGTCATTTATCTCAGCCTATGGCTTGGGGATCTTTTGTGTGGCCTTCCCTCTTCTAGGAATTTCACATGTAAATTACTGGAAAGCAGGAAATCTTTTAAGACCCAGTGGGAAGCTTGTGTGCTGTTTGCCTCAGCATAGACAGCTGCAGACCACAGAGGACCCTGCCTTGTAGGTTCTACAGCAACCCACACACCTAGACCTGAAATAGAGGAACTCGGATCCCCATTTCAAAGACTCTAAGCCGGCAAGTGAGCCCTTGGAAAGAGGTTGGAAACTTACTGAATTCATAGAGAAGGACTCCCTGATGCTCTCTGTGCAACACTTTCAGTCTGAATTCCCTTTCAATGCAACTGAAACAATAATATTTAGACCGTTTTGGGATGAGATTATTGCTTTAATAAATTGTTTTTTTTATTATTAGTTCATTGTGGCAAATAAGCCCCCGATTGATTTTTCTCCTAATCAGCATGGAGAATGCATTCCGCTGTAATTAAATCCTGTGTAACTGGGCACTCTGTGTTCGCTTGTCTCTTAGCTTGCAGTGGTATGAAATACAGTACATCAAACGCTACACTGTACACGATAGGCACCCTGCCAGCCCAGGGAACGATTATGCTAACTTGTCTTTAGTGTGCTTACAAATGAGTATAGCTGAGGCAGTACGCATCTCTTGGGAGATGTATTAAAGTTATGAGAGAAGGAAGATAGCCAGACAGAAGGTCTTCTCTAGAGGAAGCTTTAACCCTCCCTCTCTGCAAAGGCAAGGAGAGATGCGGGGGCCACTCCCTCGCCCCCGGTCCCCGCAGCTCCCACCGCTCCTCCTCTCCCCACTGCCAGGGCTCCGGCCGAGGCTCCCGGGGCAGCCGAGTCCCCTCCGCCGACGGGAGCGCGGCAGGGCTGCCAGGCGGGCAGTTTTGAAGAGTCGATCTTCATAATAGAAATCCCCCAGCTTCGCCTCCCCGCCAGCCGCGCGAGCCAGCTTTTTAATTGAATCCCGGGGATTTGGCCGCAGCCGAAAGCCCCGATTCGTGCACCAGTGTCGTGGGTCCCTGGTGTGTGTGTGTGTGTCCCGGGGAGCGTCTCTCCAGTAGTGATGTCTCATCCCCAAAAAGGGGGAGGGGGGCGGGGGAGGGCGGCTTCGGGAGTTTGGGAGAGCTCCCCCCTCAATCCTCTTGAGAGGCAGAGCGCTGCCGAGGCCCATTGCCCCCGCGCAGGGCGAGCGGGGCCGGAGGCGTCTGGCGGGGCCGTGGAGATTTCCCGGCTGCGCCAGGGCAGCGCTTAGCGGGGAGGTGAGGACTAGGGCCGCATCCTGCTCATTCTATAAGTTAATGCTCTTTTCTCTCCAGCTGCAGGGAAGCGGGCCAGTGGATAATTACCCCTCACTGCAATCCGCAGAGCTGGCCTAATCCGAAAGCTCAAGTGCCCGTAAGTAAAACTTCAGGAAAAGTTATTGAAACTGACAAATACAGGGTGACAAATAATCAATAAAAGCCCAGTCCTACATCCTTTATTGTTTCCAGGCACTAACAGCAAGTAATGAAACCTCGGCGAGGACGGGGGAGGGAGCAGGAGGGACCGGGACCTGGGCTGGCCCCTGGAAAAAAAAAAAAAAAAGAAAATTAAAAAAGCCAAAGGAAGGACCCGGCAGCTTAAGGGAACCAGTCCTGTCCCCATGTGGGAGAGGAAAACCTCCCCTCTCCTACGCCAAGCCCTCCCGAAAGGCGCCGTCTCTGCTCCGGGAGCTGCCGCCCGGCCCCGGCGGGCAGAGACGCCCCGAGCCCGGCCACCGGCTCACAGCCGTGACCCTTGCACGAATTTCATGCACCTGCGCAACACTCCAAGCTCTGCCACCTGCTCCCTAAACCACAGAACATATCTAGGCGCTAGGCGCCCTGCTTCTAATTAGCATTTCGGCCCTGGATTTTCCACGCCGCAGTTTCTGAAGTTTCAGCGAAGGACGCTGTCCAAGATAAATCCGTGCTGTCGTTTCTCTCCTTTTCTGTCTCTCCGAATTAAGTTCTGATCTATCAGTTTAAACACTGGCCAGAAAGTTGATTCACTTTCTGTTAGGATTTCGGGTTAAACCGGGGGCTCCTCCAGTGTCTTTAAGCTTTCGAGCTGTATAAATGAACTGCAATGTCACATAATCGATAGGGAAAACTCAGCTGTCACAGATCCGAAAGCAGCCTCCTGCCACAGCAATAACGTGATCTGGCATTTCAAAGTTTGGAAACGTGCTGTCTGCGCGTCCGGGGCTCGGGGAGGAAGAGCTGAACAGAGGGACGGGGGCATGCGCTGGGGCGGGGTGGGGGAAAGAGGAGGCGGGGAAACCCGGCCGGCGGCCCCAGCCACGGCGCCCCTCACCACTGCGGACCCACAGCTCCCTCCCTCCCTCCTTCCCACCCCGACACACGCTGCGAAAGTTGTTTCCCAACTTTGGCGTTTGGGGAGGGTTGACCCAGAACAAATCTCAGTGTCTCGGTGGCCTTTGCAAAGCGACCGTGCCCCCCCGCCCCGAAGCGGCGGGACGTGCCCATCTGGAGTCCGCACAGTGAGAGTCCCGGTGCCACGCACCGCCACCGCGGCAATCAGTCACTAAAAGCCACACGCTTCAGTGAGCCGGGGATAAAATGAAGTCCTGGTGACGCCTGGTTAAACCACTGACCCTCTTGTGAGGGCTGGAAAAGAGGGGAAGGAGACATCCCCAATCCTCTCAGCAAACCCAGCTTTGGGGAGCTTCGCGGGGTGATCCCGGCAGCGGTCGGGGCCGCAGTGGCAGCAGCAGCCGGCCTGAGCACAGATTTCCCACTGAAACCTTTATTTTTAGATCGGCTTGGGTGGAAAAATAAACCCGTGGAAAGGGAGTGCTCTAAGCTGCAGAGTAATCGCTGCTCTCAGCTTCCTGTCCCTCTGCACACCCCGACTTATCTGCACACACAGGCACAAGCACAAGAAAACAACTTACAGAGCATGTTGAGATGCTTTCTGGAAGGGGAGGGCTTTAACATCCAATTGGGAAGCTTTCTCAGATGAACGATAAATTTCTCTTTGGTTAGGCTGTGGTGTTTGATCATATCTTTGTGGTTTTGTCCCCACCACAAAGGGACCCCCCGTAGACTGAGCCAAGAAATAGGATTTCAGATAGTTTGTTTTGACATAAGGGAACTGTTGCATTTGTAATATCATAACATTCTAAAGGGGGGGGGGGGGGGGGGGGGAAACAAAGCATCTGTAGCTGAGAAAAGGAGTGTACTTAAGTACCACTACATTTCCATCCCCATTTGGGTATAATTTAAGTATCTCCTGGCTTACAGTAATATACTCTCTATTCTTGAGGCTATCCAAAAAGGGGGATTTAATGAGGCTGAATTTATACACTTATATAATTCAGAGGTATCACTGTAGCTGTAAAATGACAATTGGTACATGTGTAGTGTAAAAGAGCTGAAATCCCATCCCAGGGACCAAGTTAGTTATTTCTGAAGGAGCTGTCATTTCCAGCAGGGGGGACACAATGAGAAGGCCAGGAGCAATGGAGCTCTGATCTCCACCAAGGAGAGATAACCACCTGATTAAAATAGGCCTCTTGTTCCCTGGTTATTTGATCATCGTGTGAACTTACCTTATTTACAATTATAGGCAATGAGTTGTCCAGATTGCAACACACCTATAGTTTTGGGTTTACCCCCCATTTGTTATCAATACCATCTCTTGGACAGATTTCTGGACCACTCAAGAGTAACATGGGAGCACAGAAACGTTTTTAAGGATGTAGGGGATGCGTACATTCAGAGCCATATAAGAGAGAGTAGAATGTATATTCCCCCACTGGGACCCAAGCAAGAAGCCAGGCCCAGCAGAACTGGGCTGTCAAAATCAGGATACTTACAGCACTCAGACTCGTGTGAGCACCACCAGAAAGCAAAGGGGCACTGCAGTGTGGGATGTACTATTTTTCAGTCCACATCTGGTATTTGCTCTTTTCCCAGATGAACCCAGGCATGGCAGCTGTTGGAGGACACTCTCCTTTTGGGACACTCAGAGCCCAGGCCCATGGCACAGGGCAACAAAGTACATTTCTGCTGAGATTTAATGCACTTTGTTCTCCATTTTAATATTAAATGGAGCAGTGTTTGCCAGATTATTATCCCACTATTGCTTGTGCATTTGTCTCTTAATGTCTAGTGTCTGTCATTACACAAAGCGTTTTGAAGAGCTAATTTCAAAAGACAGAAAGTCTACACTTACTATGAAAGTCATTAAATTAGCATGACAAGCATAAAGTTCCTAGGTTATAATTTGGTTATAGATCTGAAATCTTTCCTGCTTTCTCTCTCCACTTGAAGGATGAAGGCTGTAGCAAGTCATTGACTCGAAGTCAGGACAAAGTCACTTGCAGATTGCACGGTGGAAGAACAGGTAAGGGATGCGGGCTTCATCACCACCTTTTTTGGCAGTGCGGTTGGTGACAAGATGTCTGCTTTCCCCTCACTTCTCCTAGCAGCCAGAGAAAGATGTGATCAGATGGTCTTCGACTACAACAGGTGGGGACAGAGAAGTAAATACATCTCGATGTATATCTCATTGATTGATTAAAATGTTGCTTAAGTAGCAGGAAGCTCTTTTGCCTTTTAGATGCACTAAACGCCAAAACGGGAAGATGAGTGATATAAGCAGCTATTGGCTGGCTGCGTTCAAGATGCGATGCGTTCCATTTATTTTAATCTCTCCTTCATTTCGGAAGAAAGCTGGGGAGACGAGGGCAGAGCTACTTATCACACCTCCGTGGGCACACGCAGTGCCCCGGAGTGCGGGAGCCCCCGGCGGCGCGGAGACAGGGAGCGCGCAGGAGGTGGCAGCGGGGGCGCGCCCTGCCCGGCCGAGCACCTTCCTCCTCCCCTTATCCCCTCACAGCCTGCACTTCTGCAACGAGAAAATTAGAGAAGAGATGGGGCACCCAAGCGCGGTGCTCCCAGAGGAGGCTGCCCTGGTAGTTATTCAGGCTAAAAATCTGCTGTCAACTTCTTTTTCTTTTATTTCTTCCCCTTCCAACCCCCCCCCCCCCTTTTGTTTTTCCGCAGGACCAGCAAGGTGCTGGTGGGCTGATTTGTTTGCTTTTAACCAGGCATGATGCGAATTGTGGAAGCTTTCCATTTACCTTTTCTTCTTGAAGCGTTTTAATTATCATCACTGACCTGTTGGGCATACCTACAGTATCAATGTCCCTTTTACATCGCTGCCTTCCCTTTCTCTGCATGTTTCTGCTATTTAACACTTGCTACCTTTGCCATTAGAGTCCTAGAGTGACCCCCATGGGTATCTTTGAAAGAAAGACCCTCTGCATTCCAGCACTGCCTCTTTACCCAAGTAATAGCAAAGGGACCATTCAGACACATGGACCACACTGAAGCATTAATTAGGCTGATGAAATCCATAGAAATGTATGGATTCAGCATAATCGAGTTTCTTCTGCTGACTATAGTTAAGGAATACGTGAGCAGCTGGGAGAATAGAAAGTACTGTTAGGGTGAAGTCATGCATGTAATTGAGTATATTTAACATAACCATTTTAATGATCGGTGATTAAAAGTGCATCTACTTAAATTGTATACCTCTGCAATTTGTCCATATCAACTTTAGAGCACACACAAAGAAAAGGTCGTCATATAAATTTATAAACAAGATCCCTTCCTGGCTACACATGACTCGAGCTTCATGATAACAGCGGCGATGGGGGAAAAGGCCTTTCGCGAGAGAACAGCTACGCCAGGGCGATATTAATTAATCACTGGCTTGGCCCCTTTCTCTCCTATGCAGTCACAGTATTAGAAGTGCATAATAAGTGAGTTTTCTTTTCATCCGTAATTATTTATAATAATTGGATCCCTCGGAAAAAAAAATACCAAAAAAAACCACCAAAAAAAACCACCCAAAAAAACCCTCAGCCTGGGTTTCTTCCCCATATTAATGGAGCAGCTTTTCCCTCGCTTAACAATATTATGTGTACGTATGTGTGCACATACACACAGAATGTTGTGTTTTGGTTTTTTTTTCTCCCTCTTCTTTTTCTTCTTCTTCTTTTTTTTTTTTTTTTTCCTGGCAGAGAAGTGCGAAGATAGCAAAGAACCGATGAAGCTTTAAACTTAAACTTCTCCGCAGAGACTCCGGGACTTCGGAACCCAGGCGGTGTTTGGGGGAGACAGAGCGGATGGGCCCGACCATGTCTCCTCGCAGGACAATCCCGCAGAATGGGAAATTAGCAGTCGAAGTCTGCTAGTGGGGACTAGATCGCACAAAGCCCACGCGTTGAGAAGGCTGAGTGTCTCTCTCTCGCCTATTCAAGCTGCCTAGGCTGGTTGCAGGGAATAAATAGAGTCATTGTGGAGCCCATACACAAACCGACCCAGCTCCCTCCCCCATCCCTTATCGCCCTCCCCCCGTCTCTTTATGCTTAAACGCACACAAATATGCAACCGCTATGCACTGAGAGGAGCCTAAACTTTTCTTCACTTTACTGTACGACCCCTGTAGGAATGGTCTTTTCACATGTATGGAATATGTAGTTAGGGCAGAGAGTGGGTCACGCTAAGGAGGGGAAAAGAGAAGCTGGCCGGGGGCAGGACCCATCCTGCCCTCTCCCCGCCGAAGATAACGGTTCAAAGTAGCGAGATGCATTAAACAGTTACAAAAAGGGCAGGGGTTGGGGGGAGTAGAAAGGTTCACTTAAGTTTCTGGTGGAAAACTTAAATCGCTCTGTTCCCCCTCTCCCAGCGTCGCTGCAAGGTGAAATCCATTTGGTGCAGCTCTGCCAAGCGGCTCCACTCCCGGGAGCTCGCTCCGTGCAAGAGAATTTGCAGCCTTGAAAGCATATTTTTCTTCCAGCTATCGTGGCACTTAAATGATAATGTAGGCAATGAAACTAGGGAGATTTATATCTTTTGGAAAGTAGGACGAGCCAGATGGTAATAGCGTCATTAACAAACAAACTTAGGATTTGCAAGTGAAGCTTGAAATTGGGAAAGAGATCTGGAGAACAAAAGGAGCTGCTGTTGAGGGGAGAGAAGAGTCCCTCTTCTGCCGGCCAAATCTAAGGGCACATTCTGGAGGGGCTGGTCCTGCCCAGCGCTAGATAATAAACGACGGCTTTTTCCTCCCCTGTTGTGACTGAGAAAGGACAGAGAAAACTTTTGCAATAGGCAAATGTGGCATTTATTCATGTGTAACCCTTTGTAGTCTCAAGTGTCCCAAATGGGCCTTTAATTCAAATCCCTATTTGGATATGGAGGGATCGCTTCTCCCAAGTTTATTTTAGAGAAACAAAGCGCCACTTGTAGAAGTTGAAGGACGAAAAGTTCAGTAATATTTTTTTACGTTAATAGTATCCAATAAATATTAAAGATTAAATGTTATTTGCAGAGAGAGTGGAGACAAAACATCTGCAGAATTTGTTGAGTTCTCTCGTCTTGTGTCCCTATCTCCCCCTTCAAGCTCATTGTTTGCTCGAAGGCACACACACACCCACGGCAGAGCTGGAGTGCGGAGGTGTCCCAGAGCAGGGTGGGGGTGCGGGAGGGTCCCACCAGCCTCTGCCCGCTCCCCCACCGACCGTTCCGCCCTCCGACCAAGCTTCTCCCCTGCATTACACTTCGGGTTTGCTTCCTAAACCCACACCACGGGCTTCTCAGTGGCCAGAGATAAGGCCTTCGGCACAGATCCACCCAGCAAACACCGGAGACCTGACAGCTCCAGGGCTTCATCAGGAAAGGGGGGGCTGGGGGGGGGGAATGGAAGGGGTAGAGCGTCGACTCCTAAATTTCAACCAGTATAATCCCCAAAGCAATAGAAATGTTTGGAAGTCTTTAGAAGCTCCCCGTGTCTTCCTTGTAGAGTAAAGTTGGTGGCTATTAGACGATTAATGATTTAAAAGATGCCTGTTAACAGCCCCAAGTTGAGAGACACGGACCCATGCTCTAAAGTAAAAAAAAATAATGTGGTTTTTAAAAAATGTGCTGGAAATCTTGAAAAGCCCCGAGGACTTACCCTTAAGGCATTATTCAAAGAAAAAAAAAAAAAAAAACAGCACCCTGAGACTGGCGGTTCGTCACAGGCAATTGTAAAGGGTTTCAAAGGACCGATCAAACGAGTTGGAGAGTAATCTACATTAAAGTCCGGATGGCAGTGTTACAACATGCACCTGCAGGGTATTTGCTATCCGTGCCCCTTACAGAGCTACAAATCACCATTAAAGAAAGCTGCTTAAGCTTCCTCCTCGCTTCTAGAAAGACTTACTCGGGCTCCTTCACTTTGATATTTATACATCTTGTTATTGATAAGTGTGGGGCTGTTTCAGTGCTCCCTTCCCCCTCCTGGGCTGTCCCCGGGCACTTTTGCATCACCCACCCCCCGGGCACAGCTCCAGCGGGTGTTCAGGGAGCTTGGTCCCACGACATACACGCATGGCAGTGGGGTACCCCCTTCCACCGGTGGAAACCCCCGAGATGCTGCGGTCAGGAGAAGTTGTGGGTTATGTTGTTTTATTTATCTAGCTTCCCCCGCAGCCAGCGCGGCTCTGTCGCCGGGGCGACCGGGGCAGCCCAGGCCGCATCGGCACGCTGCATCTCCCAGCGGATTTTCTCACAGTTGCGGGAGGCGCAGACATGGAAATGAGCTCATTAGGGGGGGGAGTGGCAGCTGCCCAGGCCTCCCTGGCCCGGCCCGGCCTGCTCTGTCCCGGCGCTCAGGATGATCCCTGTCCCTGTGATGTTTTTTTGGGACAAGTCGTGGCAGTTTCACCCATGGTTGCGCAGAGCCGGGGAGCGGGGGCGGTTAACCCTTGGTACACCGCGACTGCCGGATGGTACAGTCGCGGGAACCCCACGCTTCCTCGGGGAGCATTCAGCGGGGGCAGTGCTCCCCCCGCCAGGTGATATCAGCAAGGAAAAGTAAAGTTGTAAAACAAACAAACAAGCATGGAATGGTTGGACAAAAAAAAAAAAAAAAAAAAAGAGGGAAAAGAAAAAACCCCAAACTCCAAGATTTTCCACCCACTCGATAAGAAAAAGGCTCAAAGGTCAACTGCTTCCCGCAGCTGCAGGCAGGGCAGGCAGCCCGGGGTTACTGAACCCGGAATTGTTTCGGGGAATTTCAGTGAGCAGGTCTGCATTTTTAGTCGTTTCCTCGAGTGGGTTCTTGCAACAGAAATCGCACCCCGCCACAGGTGTGAGGCCGGTGCTCCGGGCCGGGGGCCGGCTGTGCCCTACAGGGGAGCCCAGAGGCCCAGCACCAGGAAGCACAGTGCTGCGACTGGGTGGCTCCTGCCCCTGGCAGCCGGGGGAGACCCCGAGAGGAGGAAGAAAGAGGCTCTGCCGCAGCTGGTGAGGTAAAGGATTTCGTTAGTTTGTGACAAAAAAAAAAAAAAAAAAAAAAGCAGAATTTGGACTCTGCCTCATCTCTTGACACCCCTGGTCCTTGAAACCGGGCTGCGCGGAGAGCTGGTACACACAGCCCGCTGTTCCCCCCGCCTCCCCCCGCCGGCGCAGCCCTCAAAGACAGCATTATCGGGGCTGGGGGCGAGTCGCTGCTTTACCGCTGCCGGCTCCTCAGCCAAAGCGCCTCCTTTCCGCGGAATTACCCTCGGAGGGGCTGGCGGCTCATGAGGGGAGCGGGGTTCGCGGCCCCGACAGGCTGATCAGGGCCTCTAGCGCAAGAGAAAAACCCGCGCAGAGCCCGAAGTGCGGGACGCTCCGCAGAGCGGCGCCCAGCCCACGGCAGGGAGAATGGATGTGTGTTGATACGCGCGTACCCCCCCGAACCAGAATTTACGCAGCTTCTCCCTCTGAGCCGCCCCGAGGGAGTCCCTGTCCCCGCAGCCTTATCCCCCGCCCCAGGACAGGTTCGTTGTTCATGCTACGCTGGAGCCGTGCGGGTTGGGTCAGCTGAGCCTGACAAAGGAAGTCGGACACCCCCTGGGTGCACCCCTCCGGGACAGTGGGTGGCATATGGGGGTTTCCGATGGGGGCCCTTCGCACCGCCCCCCGCCGGGGCTGGCAGGTCCTGGCCTGTTTCCTGCCACAGACCAGCGTCCGCAACCTGCAGACGCCTCCAAACTGTTGCAGCACAAACCACCGGCACCTTTACGGAGCTGAAAGTTGGGAGACCAAACCCCTCCCCGCGCCCCCACCGCCGGCCCGACTCTTCCCCCCCCAGCCCGCAGCCGTGGCGGGGGGGAAGGCGGGGCGGGATGAAGAGAGAGTGAGGGGTGGCTCGGGCCAGGCTCTAATTTGGTCTGTACGGTTAAGCCTGGCATGTGAAATGCTGTATAGCAACGAGGGGAAAGGGGTGTATTTGCTACTCGAAGATTTAGGTTGTTGCTAGGATGTGAGAACAAAAAATCTTCAATAAGTCGGGGAGGGGGGAGGACAGGGCAGTGGGGGAGGAAGGGGGGTTACAAGGTTTGTCACAGGGAAAAGTGCAGACATCTGCTGGAACTTCCATATCTAAGCTGTTCATTTACAGGAGCCAACTTCTGAAATCTCCACAATTAGATCTGCATTGTTCTTTCTCAACAACACTGCCTCGAAAGAAAAGGTCTTCTCTGTCGGGGCCAATCCAACGAAGCGTTTGACGTTATTAAATAATAAAGCGATTGTGATTTACATTGTTGTTTAGAAAAAGGGCCAATTATCCACTGTTATGTTGCCATAAAGATCATATTAACTCGAATTAGTAATCAAACAATATGCTAGCATTAAAAGTATAGAGAGCACAACGCGACTGGTCTTGTTG